CGTGAGGACATATAGCCATTTTATTGAAGCTACCTCAACTAGCGCATTTGCGCTCATTGACATACATTGCATCACTATAGGTCAATCTGTAGATGTCTATAGAGGGGTCCATATTCATACGATTTGTTCACCATGTTTGCGAGGGAATTTCCTCGAAATCCGAACGACCTACCAATATCTTCAGTGTCATCGAGGTGAACCCATGTCAGCTGACTCACAATTAAATGCTTTTCCTCCTCACATTTTTCGTGCTTAAGCATTTCCATGAATTTTGATGAAATTTCGTGATTTTTCAGCGTGTAATCTTTGAGTGCAATCTTGAGCACTTTAATAAATCTATCATAAATTGTCGTGTGATAATTTTATTGTGCGATTGCAGTGACTAGCAGCACTTTAAAAATTGCTTATCAACTGTGCCAGTTCAGCATTACAAGTGATAAAGTGTGTTACAACTTTTTTTTTTCAGCCCATTTCTTGCTTAGACAAGAAGGAATGCATCACGTTCACTGTTGTACGCCCTCTTCAATTGATCAACATTACTGACAGTGGTGAAGCAATCAAAAACCACCCATTATCAGCGCTAATTAAACAGCCGTTATCAGCGCTAATTAAAAATTTTGAACGTTTATCATGAAGTTCTTGTACTGACGCCGAGATACAAAGCCGCCATCAAAAATACTGCTTCTTTAGAAACAGCTTCACCTTGAAATAGACCCAGGGAAGCGTCAGAAAATGCCTGATGTACAGCATTCAGTCATCCAATTCAGTATCAGGCAAATGCTGAAGTTGAATCTGAACAAAACTGCTAGTATGGAAGCGGCGCTTTTTCCAATAATGCTTCAAACGCAACACACCTCCACTACTGTCATAAAACGTGCTCATTGAAATTATTGCCGTCACATGGAGATATGATTAATAAATGATAACTGGAGCGTGCACTCATAAAGCAGTCAGATATCAACTGTGCCTTTGTCTACAACCGTATTCTACATCAATCTGATAGATTTCCAAAGTTTATTGCGTGTCTATTGCGTTTCTTTCTTCGGTGGTGCAATCGTCACATCAGCAAAATGGCTCGTCCTTCATTGGTAGGTTCATTTGGAGAAACTTTTCGCAGATTTAAATCATTACACAAACGGAATCAATATTCGATTTCTGTCACAATAAAATTCTTCGTTTCAAAATTATCACCACTGTGGGTATTTGAGTACGAGTTGCAGAAGCTGTACCGGTAGGAATGAGCTCAACGAACGTCTCTTGATGGGTTTTATTAGATTGACTCAGTTCCAAAAGGCANTGCAACGCACCCAACCTTCGAATGCTCCGAATGCATGGCTTTCAGCTGACTTCAACATCGTATTGTGTCGGTTTGATGCATTTTCAGGAGAAAGATGAAAACTTTGATAAAGAACGTCCTGAAGGAAAACCACGGATTGGTTTTTTCGTTTATATGTTATGTTTTATGGCCGTTATCGGAGGTTTCCTTTTCGGCTACGACACGGCTGTAGTGTCAGCGGTATTGTTGTATATACCTGAAGCACCTGGCCTTAAACCAATGAACAATCAGTGGAAACAACTCATCGTTAGCATAACACCAGGTATATGCACAACGAATGCATTTCTCAAAATGATCAAATTGCTATCACAGATCACAATACGGCTTTCTAGTATGCGCTAAACTAATCAAAAAACTTTTTTGATCACTAAACTTCTAATCAAGAACGTTTCACAGCCAGGACAGGTCAGAATTAAGCCCATACTTAAGTTCATACTCAGTGGCTTGTTTAAGTTTACTTAAGGTCCAGATTTTGGCTTAAGCAGATGGAAGACCGTTATCTAATCAAACAAGGCGAGTGGTTGAGAGAC